GGAAATTTATTGCGAAAAGAAAAAGAAATGAGATAGAAAAAAGTAGGAAGAAGAGGACAATGTCAATTCGAAAATAATGAAATGACGGTTAATTTCATTGATTGCTGATGCTTATTTATAATATAATAATTTATGAAAGAAAAATATTATAGAAGAATTCATCTCAAATTTTTGATTCGAATGAAAATTTATATTTATGTAGAACATATTAGATGGAGCAATTTTATGATTGATGAGAAATTTCTTATTATTCAATATTTTTCAATATTTTTTTCTATTTTAAATTTTAAACATTTTATTTAATTTAAAATCATCTCATATTATAAAATTATATGTAAAAAAATAAAATTTTGAATTTTGATTTCATTTTCTTAGAATGATATTTCGATTAAAAATATTCTTCCATATTTGGGAAAGAAAACATACTAATTAATAAAATTTTCGATCTTCAGAATAGAACGTAGCAATTGATTTATAAACTTCTTCCTTATTTTCATCTCATATTATTTAAGTTCTTTTAAAATTTAGTATTGATATTTACGAATATATCCATGATATTTACAATCAAAAAGTAAAAAATTTATATTTAGATTTTAGACTTATTATAACAATTGCTTAGATCCGTATAATTTTAGTATAATATCATATTTAAAAATTATAAAATAAATATTTAATTTTTCATAATCCAAAAGAATAAATTATTACTATTATCACTGTATATATATATATAAAATATTGTAAAAAATTCAAACGTTCCATCGATCAAAATTTTTTTAAGATCATTATTATTGACAAACATGAGAAGAAAACAGTCTTTTTTCCTTAAAAAAAAGGAAAAAAAATATTAAGTTCCCGCTCAAGAAGATTTCAGATTCAATTTAATAATCCAACCTCGACTCATCCCTGAGAGAAAAATGTATAAAAGGCAATAAAACAACGAGGAAGACCACTTGGAACCGGTGAACACCATCAACGACCTCATCAACCAGCAAACTTCTAAAGAACAATCTCTAAAAAGAAGCCAGAAACCAGCCACAGTGCACAGAGGCCCTCGCCTAGAGCAATTTAAATCACCGCTAGAGACCACGTCGACCTGATCCTAACCCCTCCCATCCATGCTCCCCTCCCCTCCCCCTCCCCCGTGGCCGCAAATACCATCCCTCGCGACGAAGGGGGCGGTCGAGGGAATCGCCCTGTAAATTTGAGCGGAGGGGTTCGCCTCGCGATTTCCTGGCGATACAAGTTGGCCGAACTCTGTGCTAAAAGCCAATCTCGAGCCAGCTGCGATTAGCGTGGCCGTTCTCGTCGTCTTCGTCATCGTGAACGGAGCCAGCCGCAGCCTCGGGGACGAACTTCCGAGATAGATAATACTTCAGGATGTCCAAGTTGGAAGACCTCTTCCCTCTTTAACTCGGCTCTTTCCGCCCCCGCCACACCCTGCAATCGCAACCTGGGAAAGTAGCTTGGAATTACGGCCATCGGTAGGCGTGGATGTGTTTGTACTTCTATTTTCTGCGTGATTCGATTTACTCTCGTGACGTAGACTACGAGAAAAGTCCATCGAGAAACGTGCGCGAAAGAGCTGGGCTAGATTGGAAAAGATAAGGTTAGGTCGGCCTGTCGGTATTTATGGGCTCGTGGATACCGATGGGACCAAGCGAATAAGTTAGGTTAGGTTAGAAAAAGATCGAATAAGAATAAGAAATTTCTTGAGATTTAATGAAACTTGATAAGTCGAGGTGTCAAATTTTGTGAATGAGAAAAAAGTCTTGTCTGATTTGGATAAGTTTAGAAAAATATAAGATATATGTAAATAAATATTGAGAAAACAGTTAAGATTATTTGATTTCTTATTTATACATTTTAAAATATATATGTGTATAAAGATTATAAGTAATTTTCATAAAAATTATTTACATGATACGTAAATTTAAATTTCATAGAAACGTAGATTTTTAAATCAATATAAATCATAATATTCGAATATTTCGAAGTATTCAAAATATGTAAGTAACTATTCGCTAGTCACAGGTAATTATTCTCTTACTTTCTTCATTGTCTTTCTTCTTTTTCTATTTCAAAATTCTCTTCATCTATGTTTTCCTTCGTTTCGATTTGCGATAATGAGTTTTGAAACTCTTGCTTCAACAAAGAAGGACACAATTTTGAAGACCGTGAAATTCTATTCCTTGCAGTGATCACTTCTGCTTTTCAATCTAATGAAAATCCTTGGTGCTCGAGAATATATACGAGAGTTGATTTGAAAATTGTGTAACATTTTTAATATTAATGGAAATAAATTGCACGTACAGTAATTCATTATCTGTTACATTCTGCTTACTTCAATTGTCGAAAAAATTATCATCGACAATTCTTGAAAACAACAATTTCAATTTTTGATATACATATTTCTTAGAAATACACGTTATTATATACACGTAATACTTAAAATACACAAAATATGAACACTTTTTTCTATCTCATTTATAAGAAATTATCAATAATTCAGAACACTTAATTAACTTCTCAGATAGCTGATGTATTTTAATCCCGATTTTGCGATAGTTATTGTATATATAGAAGAATATAAAGATGAAAAAAATTTTAATCGTGTAAGAGAATAGAAATAACAGAGAAGATTATTTAGATCTTAAGAAGATAGTTTAAAACCCTTTGTTAGGAAGCACGACTCAATGACAGAGATAAGAACTTTCCAGAATTAAAAAAGATCTATCTAAAGCTACGTGGAATAAAGCTTAGAATAAAACTATTATCGAAGTATTAATTTGAATCGATTAGAGTATTTAAATATCGAATATTGATTTATTGCTTTTCGATGGAAAAAACTTTTTTTAAAAAGTTGTCATCAAAGAAAAATAAAACGTCTATCGAAAAGAATAACATTGAGATAAATATTAAAAAAAATTTTATCATTTATGCTGTAACAAGACGCGAAAAACAAAAAAAAAAAAAGGAAAAAAAGTTCAAAAAAATTTATATGAAATTAATCTTCATCGATCGGCTACATCTACGTGCTACAATGATCGATCTTTCGCGGGCGCCATGGGACAAACGATTCCGGTCGTTGCCACGAAGGATTAACAGAAATTTATGCAGCAACATCTGCCACCGGTGTCTCAGTATTCGCCCGTTGCTGATTCAATCGTGGCACGCAGCTGGGCCATCGCGCGGGATCGCGTTAACATCTTCGAAGTTGGCAGACGACTTAACATTTATCACGTGAGATTAATTAATGACAACGAGGCGGGACGTAAGCGTATATACCTGGCAAACGGTGCACATTCTCCTTCCCTCCAGTATCCTCTTTCTCTTTCTGCTTCCGTTTCACTTTTGCACGCGTCTCTCTCTCTCTCTCTCTCTCTCTTCGCTTAAATTATTCGTTCGCTCTGTCTCTTTCTTGTTTTCTCGAGACAGACGGCGAGAATGTTCTCGTCTCGAGAACATCTGGAGAACTCGATTTGCTCTTGATATGTATGTATGTATGCATGCACTTAAGCGCACGTATATGTGTATATGTGTATTTCCTCCTCGTCTCTCTTGCCTTCGACGATTCCTTTTTTTCTTTAATTTTTTCGATGGAAGTTTGTTATTGTCAGATGTTGTTCAAACTGTTTTATTATTTTAAACTTATGCTCTTGATACGAATTTATTTTTATACTTTCGTGATCAGTTACGATTTATACATATGATGAAGGATGATCAAAAACTAAATTTCCCTCGATAATTAATTACATTAAAAGAAATTTAATATTTTTGTAAAATAATTTTGCCGAAATAATTATGATCTAATTCGCTCTTATATTTGTTGTAATTAAGTTTGAATTAAAAATTTTATGGTAATACAAATTAATGGATAATGGATTATTGGAAATTATGAGATAGATTGAAAATATTCAGTAATAAGAATGTTTGGAATTGTAAAATGCTTTTGGTAATATGATTCTCTATATACATATAAAACATTATAAATAAAGGTTTCTTTATAAATAAATAAAATAGGGAATTTAAATTTGTGATCCATCATCGTTTTTTCTAGAACTGAATTATCGTATATACGAAAGAATATACTTTATATGTTTTTAATTTAAACAATATTTATTGTGTTTATAGAACTGTTATAATAATAATAATTTAAAGAATATATATTACAATTTAATAAATGTTTATTACTGTGTTTATAGAAGTTTATATCCGTTATAATAACAATAATTTTATAAATCTAATAAATAATTTATTCATATATATATATATATATATTCTAAAATATATCATCTAAGACTAGTCAATATTAAAATATCTCTAGTAATATAAAAAAATTAATCTGAAAATACAATTGACTGGAAATTGGAGTAAGGTACTATGATGAAATGTAAAAAAATACTATATTTTTCTAATAAATAGAATATTTAAGTAAGACTATTAAGTATTTATAACATTATATCTACATATATATATATATATTATATATATATATATATATATATATATTTATTATATTTTATATATTATTATGCTTAAAACTATTTAAGCAATGAAAGACAGCAAAATTCGGAATCAAAAATAGAAATTCATTCCTAAATTTTCTAAGACTTCTAAATGCATTAAATATATAAACTATTATTTACCATTAATCTTCTAAACGATGGAATGATTATTTTAATTCAGTTTCAAGTTTAATACTGTATGTTGCATAAAATAGTTTATCTTTTCTTCATGTCGAATTTATCCGAATCCTTTTTTATTCTTTCTTTTAACGTTTCGAAATAGAAAAGATTTCAATGGAAAGCATTTTAACCACATATCTCAAAGCGATACGATAATTGATTTATGGCATTTATAGCGTTTAACAAAGCATTTGAACTCCGAAAGAACTCCATCCGTTCAGAGCAAAGTTCGTTATCTTCAGCTGAAGATCTTCAACGTGAGAGAGTGAGTTTTCAAGTGACGAGAGTGAGAATTTAACATAAATCGCAACTTACAGAAAGCTGAAAACAAAAAAAGAAAACAAGATAGTCATGTAGCTTTAAAGAGAGAAATAAGAAATTACATAAGGCTACATTTTTACATTTAATTACAATACTAAAAACGAGTCTTTGTTATCACCTTATTTTCAATATCTAGATTTTTACAATTTTACTCGAATCGATATTTGTAAAAAATAATTATAGCAATCAATATTTCTTTTTTTCATTTAAAGTAATTTTAACTTTGATAATTTAATTATTATTAAATTTAATCAAACTTAAAGTATTTTTAATCATATAACATATAAAATATATATTTTATAATTCAAGCTGAACTAGAATATATTTGTAATGTAAAAACTTATATTTTTTTAATAATTAGAAAAGTATGTTCAATTATTGTAGTTTCTCGAAATATTTATATTAATTATATTAATATAGAAGAACGATAAAATGTTTGATACAATGAAAATAGAATATAAATAGAATATAAATGCAATTATTTCTAAAAATATTATAAAAATGGTATGATTTTGATTCCTATTATATATATACATAAATACATAAATACATAAATACATAAAGTAATAAAAATATTTTATTAATGCATTAAAGTATATTATATTATACGTGTAAATGCCATATATAAGCCTTGATATAAATTGTTTAAATATTCAAAGAAAAGTAAGTAAAAAGATGTGAATTTTTACATGTACTCTAAACGATTTATAATAGCGATTTTATCATTTTTCTTTAATATTTTCTTTAATATTAGTTTTAAAACTTATTTTTAATTCGATAACACAAACACATATCCCCGAATATTTGTCTTTCAAATTACATCATTACATCCGAATATTTATTGGAATTGTATGTAAACACAATTTTCGCCAATCTAATATCTAAAAGAATACACTAAACCCTAAAAATTCTTATCTCTTAATAAGAAAACCAGCATCTCCTTCTTATCGAAATACAAAATTGTTACTTGTTCCCATTAATTCCGTCCGAGTGTTCTTACTTTATCCACCCCAAATAAATTCCCCAAGATAACCATTGTCCGTTCTAAATTTCTCTCAACAATAATTCTTCCAAAATCCACAATTTTTCCCATCGAAAATAATTATTCTCCATGCATGGACCTCGAAAAAATCTTTTATGAACGCGTTTTTTTGGACTAATATCGAGAATAGAGAGAGAGGAGAGAGAGAGAGAGAGAGAGAGAAAGAAGAAGCGAGAAATGTCGAAAACGCGACGTTCGCTCGTAAACGATTTTTGTCCGTGAGAAAGGGGTGACACGGTTGAAATCGGGATTTTGATTGTGCGAGTTATCGTCGACGAGATCATCGTGGAGCGGCGCGAACGTCACCTCGGTGAAAAACGAGACGATCGTCTGTTTAATATACCGGGTGACCGGCGATAAACGACGAATAAATTCCACGGTCGAAATCCACCGGCGTAATTACGGGGCAGTCCGCGATGCGCCACGATCCCGGATACAATTGGCGAGGGGAAAAATTCATTTTCCACCTGTTTGGATAGTTTTCCACTTTTTCGCATCCCGTTCCGAAATTGATTCGGTTGGAATTAAACGATTTTTATGGACGTGCTCGTTTTAGGCAGGATTGAAATAAATTTTTATTCGAATAATATCACTCGAAAAATGAAATTTTCATCTTTACTTTTCGCTCCCTGTATATTATTTTATATTATTTGACGGAATAATAGTATTGACGGATAAATTATTTTCCTATTTGTTGCTTCAATCGATCGCGTATTTAAATTATTTTTTAGAGATTAATTTTGCATATTTTATCAAAACGAAAGATAAATTGAAATATTGCTTCGTTTCAGAGGCGCAACATTTATTGATTACTACAGATACGTGTAATATCAATTTTAAGTAATTTTAAATAATTTTGCATTCAAATGAATTGAAGTAATTTCGAATTAACTATAATGGTATATTATATAGATATTATTTTATATATATGATAACATATTATTTTCAATCTTAATACAATAAAATGAATATTATTAAAATGAATTATAAAACTTTCATTTTCTATACATTTTGTATATGCTATATTATTTTATTTTAAATGATATTAGTTGAATAATAATATATTTAAAAGATAAATATATTTTTCTGTAATGGAATCGATTTTCTATTCCTTTAAAAAAGTTTTTCATCTTAATTTTAATAATGATTATATTTTTTTTTATATTTTTTTAATGTATACACTTCATCTAAAATGAAATTTTAATTTAATTTAATTATTTATATATATATTTATATATATATATATATTTCTAGCTTAACCAAATTTATTTTATTATTTGAAATAATTACTTGTTTCTTTTATATCCTATTTTAACTCAAATAAAAGATATTCAATTCTAATTAGAATGAGAATTCAGATGAAATATAAAAATTGAAGTTTCATTGATAATTTAATTTAAAATAAGTTGTAAAATGTTTTTTATCATTAGAATCAATAAAAAATAAAAAATAAATGCGGAATAAATCGAATATGAACTTAAGAACTCAAGTCAATAGATGATGAATTTATCGTGGATTTTATAATATATTGATTTGTTCTCTAAGTTAAATTTAAGTAGATATGTGTAATTGCTAAAAGTTAAAAAGTTAAGAATAAACGAATAAAACTTGAATATGTAATGAAAGTTGTTACAATATAAATTTGCAATAAGTTAAATATAATAATTTTTAATTCAATTATTATTTTGCTTTCTCACATAATTTTTACAATTTTAATGTTTGATGAATTAAAAATTAAGTCTTGTCTAAATTTCAAAATTTGATGTAACTAATTTTCTATTTAGTCAAATAGAACGAATATATCATGTGTAGAATGAATATGAATGGAATTTTGATGTAGGTAATAATATATTAAAAGTTAATATGAAGTGAAATAGAATTGACGTAACTTGAACATACATTTCCAATAGATTTAATAATAGAGGTAATAATGAATTAAAAGTTAAAATGAATAGGAGTAGAATTCATGTAACTGTGACATACATTTCCAATGGATTTAATAATGCAATGGAAATAGTAATGAGTCAAGAACAAGTGGATTTCGTTGAAATGAATGGGGAGTTAAAACGAGCGCGATATGTATGAGGGTTGAGATGATGTAAGAGGTAGATTCGATGAAGTTCATTTTATTGAATTAATTGAATGACTAATTGTAATAAAAATGAAGATAAATTAAGAAATTATAAATTCAATCAAAACAAGAAATAAGGAAATACGTACGACGAATTTAATTGATTTTCTGCTTAAATGGGATTAAATGAATTTATGATGGAAAATAATAATTAAATAAAGATATGGCTAAAACAAACAAGAATTGAATTAATGCAAATGGTAATTAAATTGACATTAAAATTAAGATAATAAATTATTGCTTCGTCAGAATATTTTTATTGATGGATAATTATTATATTATAATTGTACAATAAATAAATCGTAAATATTAATTGTATAAACATAAGAAAATATATATAAATGTATGCAACAAATTAACTTTTTAAAAATTTTAAAAATATTGTTTTAGAAATGTCTGTACAAAATTATTAATTGTAAGAAAATCAAACTTATTATATTAATTATTAGAAATATTAAAATAGAAATATTAATATATATTAGAAATATTATATCATTAAACAGATTGTGGAATATTATTTCATTGCAAAATTTAGTAAACAAGTTATTTCATCATGTTTAATACAATTTTTAATATAATATGATTTCTAATGTCAATTTTCTAAATATAATTCCTAGTTTTAAATATACTTTGACTTTCTAATCTTACTACAATCTATACAGAGAAAAAAAAAAGATAAATAATAAATTTTACATGAAGTGTTTAAAATATAAATATAAGTACAATATATGCTATAATTATGATTTAAAAATCTTTAACTTTTTGCTTTATGTGACACTTTTAAAATATTATACAATTTTGAAAGCTATTTATCACAAGTTTTATTGCATGTATTGAATGTATCGACAATTTTGAATTTATTTCTATCTTTTCAGAATTTTATTTTTGATTAATTAATTACAGAATTTTGAAAATTAAATATCCAACACCTCGATTAAATTGCTAGAGATGAATTACAATGAATCAACGATACACTATTTTATTCGAGCCAAAAGATTTCTATTCGATAAAAGCAAAAAAAGAGGAAAAAAAATATTACAAGAGGAAAAATGTTATTACGTTACGTAATAAAACTACTCTTGATATTATGAACAAATAAAAATTAAAAATTATTTTCAAATATGAATGTTTAGTAATATAAAGTTATATATGAAGGAAATTGATAAAAAAAAAAATGAATTAAACAAAAAATTAAATCAATCATTTTTAAGTACTATCCCAGGTTTCTAGAATGTAATAAAATTTCTAGAATGCAAATATTATTAGATACGCTAATTTAAATATACATTATATTTACACCGTGTTCAGATAATCGATCATTTAAGCAATCAAACTTCAAATAATCGATATTTTATATTATTCGCGAAATCAACTGTTTTATTTCTTTCAATTATTCAAAATCTCAAAACTTTTTTGTGGTTTTATAAATTAAAATACGATGACGAAAATAATCGTTATATCAGATAAAAGATAATATAAATTTTTCATATCGATGGTCTCATATAATAAAATCGTAAGGACACAATTTTTCTCGCGACCACATGACGATTTCCAACAGATTTATGTTGGAAATTGCTTGCAACAACATGGACACCTGCACATCCATGGCAATTTATATCGTCTATGGTTATTTATCTCGTTTTTGGTAGGAGCAAGGGATAATTGCGCACCATGTGCCCCTTAATCATTCGAATTGCTATGTCGCAATTTTAATTATTGCCAGCCGCGATTGTATGCTCGAAATCGATTTCAAATAATTGCCTCTCTAAACTTATCCCCCAACTAATTAATGTAATTTTTATGTAAAACTTCTTTCTTTGGGAATAA